GGTCTGGGGTGGGAAAAGCAGATGGTGTTGATGATGGCTGGCTGCTGGGAGCTGCCGAAGGTGAAGTTGAAGGTTCGCTTGTCGGAATAAGAGTAGGATTTGAGGTCGGACCTTTTGTGGACGGTTCTGGGGTTGACATGCTTGGAGTTGTCGAGGGGCCACTTGTTGGTTGGGCAGTTGGAAGCAATGTTGGAGGCGGTGAAGGACTCATTGTTGGGGATGTTGTAGGAGCTGTGATTGGGCTTCCTGTAGATGGATTTGGTGTAGCCATTGGAATCACTATAGAAACACTGGTATTCCCATAGGAGACATAGCTCAGTGGCTGAGACTGACCCACAGGAGCTTCAGTGTTGTTCGGAGACAGAGTGAATGGGGCCAAAGATGCCTCTCTGAGAACTCCTGTGGGGGCATTGGTTTCTGCTCTTGGAGATGCACTAGGTGCCACAGTCCCATTCCTAGGATCCTCTGTGACCTCTTCAGTTATGACCACAGTTATGGTCAAAACAGGAATTGTTACATTGCTAGGGACTGATTCAGGGCTAGTGCCTGTTGTTGGAGCAGTCCCATTGCCTGCTACTGGATTTGTGTTCGTTGGAAAGACAGGGGTTGTTGTTCCATTCCCGGATACTGGATTGTTGCCAGTGTAGTTTCCTGGGCCACCCCAAGTAGTGCCACCAGATCCCGGAAATGAAGTCCCATCTCCTTGGAGGTTTCCTAGGCCATTGCCACCTTGGGCTGCGTCTTGTGCTGCCTGTTCTGCTTCCTTCTTGGCCTCTTCTTCCTGGGCTTGGATGATGTTGGTGTTGAACTCCATCAGGAAGTCTAATGTGGTAGTGTTCTTCTCTTCATCTGGAGATGAGCCAATGGGACACAAACATACATCCAAAGCTTGTTGTAGCCTGCGGCTGGATAGAAAGGCCGATGGTGTTCTCTTGTTCAAGGCGTGTGGAGACAATAACTCATCTCTGTTGTACCCCATCAGGTTTCGTCGGAAAGCATCATCAAACAAATTGAATCCTCCGGTGTCACTGATTGGGCAATTCCTGCATCTTCCCGTAACTTCAAACAGTACTCTATCTCGTCTTTGAGTTGGAGCAGTTGATTCTGTGGAATTTGTAGAATTTCCCAACATTGTGCTGTTGCTGTTAGTGGCACCTTGCAACCTGCGCCCTGATAGTTCTCTGGTCACAACCAAACCAACATCTGAAACCACTCGAAAAAACTCATCACAGGCCTCAAATGACAAAGTATTGTAGGTTTCCAAGAAAACTCTTTCCAAGGTGTTCTTAGTCTTCTCTGGCAGCAAGGAGGGATCGACTCCTAAATCGGCATATACGAAAGATTTGAAGGGTCGAACCTCACCATCACAAATCACCGGCTGGCCTTCCACTACACTTTCTGGCACTGTCTCGATAGACTCAACATCTCCAGTTTGCTCCAAATCAGCAATCTGATCTCTGAATTGCACTTCAAACTCCTGAGGGCTAGGACCCTCGCCGATGACAGGATCCTCTCCTACTGGACACACGCAAGTGTTGGCCTCCTGTTGTTGTTGCTTCCAGTCCATGGTAGATCCCAAAGAGTCTTTTTGAGGATTGTTTGTCTTTAACACCCGTCTTCGTCTGAAACCATCATCAAACAAGTTGAATGTGCCAGTTTCGGTCACAGGGCAGCCCCGACAATTTCCAGTAACTGCAAACAAAGTCGGTACAATTTCGCTTCGACGCTCCTCCTCTTGTGGTTGAGAAGTAGCATTGGTTGTACTGTTGAAACTTGTACTGTTTGTGCTGTTGTTTGCACTTTCAGCTAGATCACGCTCAAGCAGAACGTCTTCCAATCTCCTTCCTCCTGGACTACCAGCTATTGAATCCAAAACATCTGTTGAGGCAATACGGAGCTCCACTTTGGCTACAGTCCGAAAGTGGCCATCGCAGGTCATGTAAGCCAAACGATTGTAGGACTCTTGGAAACTGCGCTCCAATCGGGCAGCCTCTTCTCTGGTGAAAGAGGTGATGTTTACTCGAAGATCAGTGAAGACAACAGATTTGAAATCTCTGACCACAATCCCACAGGGCACGATTTGCGCTTCTTGTACCTCTTCGGCAGAGAGAGTAGACTCCACAGTGCCGTCTTCCTGTAGAGCTTCCAGTCCTGAGTTGTAGGTGTCAATGAAGTCATCTTGGCTCAGAGTGGGTGCATCTGTGCTTTTATCCTCATATTCCAGAGGACACAGACAAACCTCATCTTGTTGGAGGGCCCGAACAGGTAGGCTGTTCTGTAATCCCAACGAATGGCTCTTGCTTTGCTCGGCAGAACTACGTTGTCTGGGAGACAGCAACTTTCTCCGGATGCTCACATCATCAAAGAGGGTGTAACTCCCAGTGTCACTAACTGGGCAATCTCGGCACTCCCCCTCGATATTGAAGATTGCCCTGGCAGTCTCAAAGCGGCGAATGGTGGGGCTGAATGTTGGTTCCAATGATGGTAGTGACGAAGGAGTCTGAGATGGGAACAATGATGGTGGCAAGAAACTTGTACCGTTCGTTGTATTGGTTGCATCTTGGGCCACTGTTCCATTTGTGCCAGGGGAGGTTTCATTGCCAGATGGAGCAGACACCAGGTCAAACAAAGATCGCCTCTTCAAATCAATGTGTTCGAATTCCAGCTCTAGCTTGACACTGGTGATGGTTCGGAAGTAAGGATCACAAGTCAAAAAGCTGAGACGATTGTAGGTTTCTACAAAGGACGCTTCCAATGCTGCAATCTCCTCCTCTGATGGCCTGGTATCCCTGATCAGATTGAGGTTGACATAAGCCAAGGAGGTGAAGCTCTGGATGCCTTCTGAACAAGACACAGTCCTCAGTTCCACCAACCTTGTAGTGGTGATCAGGGTAGCCGCATTCAACTCTGGAAGGAACATGTCTGAGGAAAGAAGATTCAAATCTGTGCTAGCCCCAGCTGGGCACAAGCAATCTATAGAAGAATGGTGGGACCAATCCCCGGTGAGCTGCTTGGCTGCTGCTGCATTGGTTGCTGGAGTTTGACTTCCTTGTGTTGCTGAAGCTGTGGTATTTGATACCTCTGGTGCACCTGTTCCTTGAGGCACTGCTGCTGGTGGTATTGTTTCCAAAGTTGGCCCGCCATTCAATTCTCCAATTCCAGCTACTGTGAATGTGGTATTGCTGACATAGTCGGGAAAGAGGGGGAGAGCTCTGGTACAGTTGTAGCATTCGGCCGTCACTCGGAGGGTGAGAATGGCCCCCAGGTCACCATCTCCGATGCCTACCATCTGAATAGACTTGATGTTTCGGAAATGAGGAATATCACAGGAGTCAAAGCTTTGTTGGTTGTAGACTTCTTCAAATGTCTCCTCAATGTGTTCGAGCTTTGAGGAGGCCTCGTCCAAATCGTCCAAAGTGTACAGGACCAAGGTCCGTTCGAGTGTGGCTCTGCCTTTTGGGCACTGATATTGGTCTACATCAATGAGACTTGTGGATTGTGCAACAACTGGGGTTTCTGGGAGTAGGATTGATGACAGGAGAAGCAGCCACAGGTAGTTTTCGCACAGCCGAGCAAAGTTGTTGCTTTTGAGATGGCTTTCGAACGGAACACCCTTCATTTTGTTTTCGTTACTACGGTACGGGAGGATGAACTTGGGGCGGTTGTCGGGAACTGGTTGGTGATCCTGTTGCTGTATCGATCGGGGCTTCTGCAATAGTGGTCCACAAACACAACGTCGTCGTCGTCGATCGTTGCATGGAGGCTTTGTTATTATTTTGTTGGGGTGCCGTCTCCGAGAATGGCAAGAAGACAGGAAACCATTGCACTTCTTTTGCTCTTTTTCACTGGGGCATCTCGTGCAAAACCGTAGTTCCTTCAGGGTGGCCGGCAAAGTACAGAAACTGGGCAGTAAAATGTAATTAAAAGGGCTGTGCTCCGATTGATGATTTGGTTACCGGTCCCAATGTCCCAATGCACTTGATGTTAAATCCACACTCAAGAACAATACGGGTGGCAGCATCTTCTTGCTTCCCTCCAACCTCCAAGAGTCCCTACTGTATTAATAAGCAGCATTGCTTCTACATGTATTCACGTAAATCATTTTAGTTAGTGTGATATTTTAAAACGTGTTTATTAATGCTTTTTTAAAGTAGAAGAAATGCCTCACTTATGTGCGGAGTCAAAGGCGTCTCGGATGCTTCAAGATTCAAGATGAGTCTTCACCGGTTACAGCTCGTAACATCATGATCCAGCACAAGTTGCGGGACTGCCGGTTAGCTTAGGGCTCGAGTTATCTTTACTACGGATTCGGGAAGAACTGTCCTTTCCCAATTTCTGAAGCGGATTTCCCATCATCTGAAGGAGATTTTCCTTCCCGGTACATAGGCTGTGTAGGTTTCTACGTGAGGGCGGAATCCGAACTCGACTACGAAACGTTCAAACCTTTCAACGCCTACCTCTGTCCTTAAAAGGAGAATGTCTCTTAAGTAAAGCTCAATGGAAATTCCCTTCCGAGGGTCGGAAATCAGCTTCCGAGCAGTGGAAAAGGACAGTTCAATCCGAATCCGTAGAATTGATGCTTCCGTGTGTTACGTACAGTGTACCGGTACGGATAAAGGGCAGACAACGAAAAGAGTCCATTCACCAAAGATCCAACCAACCAAACAAGCCATCACAACATCACAACATCACAACGGCTAATTCTAGCTAGCTAGAGGCCTGATTTTGATTTCAGCAGCACTTGAAGAGAAGAAGGAAAGAGGAGTCCCTCGGCAGGCAGTTTGATCGAGGGGAGTTACCACCTACACAATACATATTGGTTGCTGGATTTGTGTGATTGATTTGTGTGATTGATCGAAAGGTTCAGTTTTTTGGCCATGTTTCCCTCGCCAACAACAACCAAAAAGAAGAAATCTTTTCAGTGCCAAACGTCTGCTGGCCAAAGGATCGGGAAGAAACCAAGGAGAAAGAGGTCAACGATTGCAGTTATTGTAGTGATCATGTCGAGCTGTTGGGCATTGCTGCTGAGTCGAAGTGTCGTTGTCGCTGCCCACAAAAGGCCGTGGACTGCCTTTGTCACGTCCACGAGGCAAAAACCATTGATAACAAGTGCTCGGCCAATAAGTACAAGATCCACAGAACTACTCCGACCATCCACCAATCGACCATTCGCATTTCCATTGTTCGCCAAGTCCAAGTCTACTACTACTGCTAAAAGTGGCCGTCCGTATCGTTTGATGATTGTAGAGTCTCCCAGCAAATGCAGGACGATTGAAAAGATTCTACAAAAGCACGTGGAAGAACAAAATTTGGACTACGATTTTGTCGTCACGTCGTGTTATGGACACATTCGCAATCTACCCAAGAATCAGCAGCAAATTCGAGAGGCCAAGTACTTGTCGACTGGTACTACTACTAGCACTAGTGCTACTTCAAAAAAGGACGCGTCCTTTCCCTATTCCATTGTGGGAGTTGATTTGGAACACGACTATCAACCCACGTATGTCTTATTGCCCGGCAAGGAATCACTCGTTCAAGAACTCCAAGACTTGACGCAGCACGCCCAACACGTCTACTTGGCCACGGATCCCGATCGCGAAGGAGAAGCCATTGCTTGGCATTTGCAACAAGTCCTCTCCTTACAACACGAAAACAAGAGTCGATTGTCCTTTTCGGAAATTACCCCCCGCGCCATTGTGGGGGCCGTGGAGAGCGATCCCACACAACTCAATCATCGATTGGTAGCAGCACAAGAAACCCGGCGCATCCTCGATCGATTGGCCGGATTTACCGTATCGCCCATTTTGTGGAAAAAGATTGCCCCGGGACTTTCGGCGGGACGGGTGCAAAGTGTTGGCATGGCACTGGTCGTCCAACGGGAACGAGAACGATTGCAATTTACACCGTTGGAGTATTGGAATGTCCAAGGCAATTTTACCGCGCAAGAATTGGTATTGGACTTGGACTTGGACAATAATGATCTCTTTGCAGCCACGCTTGTTTCGGTCAATGGGACCAGTTTGGTGGCGGGCAAGGCAGATTTGGTACAGGCCAATGCTAGTACTACTACCAGCCAAGGAAAGCTGCCACCCCCACAACCCAAACCCAACAAGCGTCTCTTGACACAATCAGATGCCCGCGAGTTGGCCACACAGTTACTGGAGGATCCTACCAATACAGAGTGGCACGTCCAGAGTGTTTCCGCCAAGGAACGATTTCACTATCCACCCGATCCCTTCAAAACATCCACGCTGCAGCAAGAATCCAATCAACGACTCGGAATGAGTGTCGCCGAAACCATGAGTACGGCACAAAAACTATACGAGGCAGGATGGATCTCTTACATGAGAACGGACGCCACACATCTCAGTCAAGATGCCAGTGCTGCCACTGTGGCTGCCGTGACGGAATTATATGGACCCCACAATGTGGCGGCGGCACGAGAACAACAAAAGAAATCCAATAAAAAGAAAAAAGCCAAACAGAAGAGTGCATCCGACAAGGTCGCACAAGAAGCCCACGAAGCCATTCGTCCCGCCATTCAACCCGATGGGACATTTGCCAGTCCAACCGACGTGACGGCACTTTCGGACAAGGCCGTCAAACTCTATCAACTCATCTTTCGACGGACATTGGCATCGCGAATGCCACCCCAGAAAACCAATCAGACCACAATCGTGTTGGAGGGGACATCGTCGGGTGAAACCACGGTCGAATTTCGAACCACGGGCAGTGTCGTTCTGGAACCCGGTTTTACATTGTCGTGGAATCGTGGTGGTGACAATAATAATAATAAGGAATTGCCAGCACTCGAGGAAGGACAAGTGTTGGCGTGCCATGGGTTGGACCCGAGCGGTCATACCACTCAACCGCCGCCACGATACACCGAAGCCAGTTTGGTCAAGGAATTGGAAGCACTGGGAGTGGGTCGTCCCAGTACGTACGCGGGGGTGGTGCAGATTTTGCGCGATCGGGCGTATGTTGGATCACCGGCTTCCGTCGAAGCGACGCCGTCGTCCTCCAAGCGAGCCGCCACGGGGGCGGCCATGACCGCACAGCGTGCCGCTGGAGGTGGGGATATGTTTGGAGCCAGGGGTCCATTGGCGCCGTCCTTGTCCGCATTCGTTGTCACGTCGCTGTTGGAAGAACATTGTCCCACCTACGTGGATCCGTCCTTTACAGCTCGAATGGAAGAAAACTTGGATCGAATAGCACATGGTCATGATGATGATAGTGAGGATAGCGACGACGGCGATGATGATCAAGAGGAGGAAGTCGATGTGGCGCAGCAACGGGTGGCTTATCTGAACGAGTTTTATGCTGGCGAAGGTGGTTTGGCGGCACAAATTAAACTCATTGACGACAATGTCGAGGCGGAGGATGCACGGCGGGCTCGCTTACCAGCGTTGGATACTTCGGAGAATAGTGAGGAGCCAGATTTGGGCATCTACATTGGTCCATGGGGTCCATACATTCAACAAAAAGACCCAGGTAGCAGCACGGGGCCGCTAAAAGCTCCACTGCCTCCAGGGTTGGCAACAGACCTTTCCTCCATCACGCCAGATACGCTTGCGGCCTTAGTCCGGGTGAAGCATGGAAATGGTACCATATTGGGGCAGCACCCGGAAGATGGCAGAAACATTCGATTGAGGGTTGGTCGCTTTGGAGCCTACTTGCAATGGGGGGAAAGCGATGAAGAAGGCACCACCACTCATTCACTTCCCAAAAAATTGAGTTCCATGCGGAATCTTCAAGTGCCTGGTTCTGGTACCATTGAAGATGGTAGTGATGATATGCCCACTGAGGGAGCACCAAGTGATGCACCAGAGGATCTTACGGATATGCTAGGCATCACCTTGGAGGTGGCTATCGGTTACTGCGGGTTACCCAGAACAGTCACCACATTGGAAGACAAGCCAATCACTGCTGCTATTGGCCCTTATGGCCCATACCTCAAGTACAACAATTCGTATGTGAGCCTGCACGCGCGGGATGGTGATGTCTTGACGATCGATGGGGAGTCCGCCGTGACTTTGGTCAAAGATGGCATCATCAATAAGAAGTCTGGTAAGATACTGGAGCTGCCTGCAGTTTGTGTTGTTGAGAGGTTTTGTGGCTGACTAGTTTCTGTTCTTGCTTTTCAACAGGTCCAGGTAGAGGTGTCTTGGCAGAGTTGGGCGAGAAGGATGGTGCACAGGTCACAGTAAAGAGTGGACGCTTTGGAGCATACCTAAATTGGCGAAAAGTCAACGCTAAGCTTCCTTCTGAATACGTCGACGAACCCGACAACACGCCGCTGGAGTTAGCTTGGGACCTGATCCAAAGCAAAGCTGGTGCCCCCTCCACCAAGAAGAAATCGGGGCGACACCAATCATCCCCGGACTTGCCACCAGCCCCCAAACGGGCCTTGAGTGCGTACATGCACTTTTGCTCAGCAAAACGTCCCGAGGTTTCAAAATCTGGAAAGTCTTTGGGTGAAGTATCGAAAGCGTTGGCAGCCTTGTGGGCTGAGACATCAGAAGCCGACCGTAAGCCCTTTGGGGACCTTGCTGCTGCCGGGAAAGAGGCTTACCAAACGGAAAAGGCTGCCTGGGAAGAGGAATGCCGCAAGATCCAAGGAACAAAAGGAAAGAAGAAAGCCGTGAAATCCAATGATGGAGGCCCATCTCCACCCAAACGAGCCAAAACTGCCTATCTGTATTTTTGCGAAGCAAAACGACAAGAAGTTTCGCAGCGGTTGCACAAACTGGGCGATATCTCCAAAGAGCTTGCTCGTCAGTGGGCCGAAACCACAGATCGCGCTGAGTATATTAAACTTGCCGAAGCAGACAAGTCACGCTATGAAGCAGAGAAGAGCCAACGCCAAAGCGGTAGTAGTTCTGCACCTGCGAATGGCACGTCGTCGAGGTCCAAAGTAAAGGGATCCGCCAATGGTCGTCGAAGTCGCGTGCTCAAGGTTCAGCGACCATCCACGAAGAAGACTTCAAAACGTGTGTCGGCTTACATGATATTCTGCCGAGAGAATCGCGGAGGCATCGTGGACGAGAACGGTGAGAAGTTACCTCTTGGGGAAACCACCAAGAGACTAGCCGAGAGATGGAAGAGCATCGACCCAGAAGAAAAAGCTACATATGAAGCCACGGCGGCTGAAGAGAAGGCAAAGATAATGGCTTCGTGCTAGGTGGCCGCAGAATTGTACCAGCAAGGACGTTCGGACTAGCAACAGTAGAAAAGTTGGTAAGAAACGAAAGTATAATAAAGGGGGTTTAGAGAGCTTCAAAATCTCAGGGGGCAAAGAGCAGTTGCACCCACAAAAGGTATCAGATCTCTCCAGGGGCACGTGCACGCAACCAAGCACATCTCCCTGATCACCACAAGGGGCCCCAACAAATCCTGAGACGCTTTGCTGCCACGTAGCTGTATGAATCTCTCCCGAGAAACTGCGCGACGAGCGACCTCCAAAGTTGAGGGTGCTGGGCGGGTCTCTGGCTTCCAAATGCAAAAGGCTAGTAGCTGCGGTACGACTGGTAGCTACATCTCAGGGGCCAGTTACTCTCGCAGCTCCCTGCAGGCCAGCGGTTGTAAAAGGATTAGCCGTAGCTCAGCTTCGTGTAAAAGATGTGCAACGCACCAGAGTAGCGGCCATGAGTGAAGCAGCCAACCCGCTTGAGTAGTGGAATATTGTAGCTGAGAAAGTCCGTGCCATAAAGTGGGCCGCAAGGAACTGATTGAATTCGATTCTTCGTCGTCTCTGTGTCCTTCGAACCTTTGCTTCCTTCTTTCTCACAACAGTCTACCGATCGGTACTGTGTACCGGAAGTTTCCGTTCACCCAAGGATGGGAGTGGTGGATGGATACTAGCCAACAGTCGAAAACCTGTGTCTGGTGAGGTTTCAGGGAGCTTGGTCGCTGGTTACCATCATTTACGTTTGTCATCAAGTTAGTTCAAGTGTGACCGAATGGCTTCGAGGCTTCGAGGATACTACCAGTGTACCAGAAACCGGTACGGTAGATAGCTCAGTGGATGCAATCTCAAGGATTCTTCGGCACAGGTACCAATGACTTTTGTAGATTTTTCGAACATAATATTAATAGAGGCTGGGTAAATATCCAAAACAACGACTTGTTAAAGACCCCATCACACAGATGTTGGCATTTGGTGTCGACGCCGAATGAGAACTGCCTTTTAAGCCATCGCCTTGCTTCCGTTAGCTTTTCACTGTACAAGAAACCGCAGAGGTCAATCTCTCGACCCAAGCTCAACATCCCACAAGCCACAAAGACCCCAGGCCGCAAAAATTGCAGTCGACACCATCACATAAAGGTCTTCATCCTTCAATATAATTGTGTGTTGTTTGCCTCAGCGAGTCGCTCCTTCCTATATTGATCATTCTGTAGAGAAACTGCAACATGGGTAGCAAACTCTCCAAACCTTCCCAGGACAGTCCTACAGCTGGCAACGCTGCCAACAAAAAGGGAAAAGACACTTCGGCCAAAGAGCTGAAGAAATCAACCAAGAAAGCCAAGAAGGATCAGAGGAGTGTAGCACCATCGCAAAAAGCAACAGGGCATGGTGCACATCCAGAGACTCTGATATCGGAAGGTGGTGGTAGCAGCAATATCAATAAGGCGTTGGAGTCCAAAGGTCCGAACAAAAAGGGGAACCAGGCAGAGAAGGTCAACAACAGTGTAAATGCCAGTACTGTTTCAGCGCCACCCAAAGAGCTCACGACCTCAGAAGACCAGAAACAGACAAAGACCGCCAAAAAGAAGAGCGTGAAAAGTTGTCCGGTTTCAAAACCACTCCAAAAGTCCAAAAATGAGCCCCAAGTGACCGGAAAGGTGGAGCAAACTGGGAAAGACAACACCGCCCCGTCCAAGAAACTGAATGGATCAAGCCAACCGGCCAAAAAACCAAAGATACCCAGCAACACTGCAAGGGGAGGAGCTGCCGCTGCTCCATCCAAAGAGGGATCGAGCCACCAGACCAAGCCGACAAAGAAGGCTAGCGTAAAAAATAGCACCACTACCTCTGTTGTGGCTTCCAAAGGCTCAAAGACACCCAACAGCAATGCTAGTAGTAACAACAGCACTGCCTCTACGACACAAAAGAAATCCAAGAAGAGCTCTCCAGCACCCAAGCAAGTCAAGAAGAGCCCTCCAACACCCCAGCGTAGCTCCACTGCATCCACGGCATCGACACTGACCAATTCAAGATTGTCCACTTCTAGCGTATCCGAGCAGCAAAACTCTTCGGCAGTTGCAAAGGAGTCTACGACCAGTGTCGCCACTGCGAGCAACCCTACCGGAAACGCTACAAAGGAGGAGGAGAGCCAGCAGCAGGAACAAGCACCTCGAGTGAGCTTTATTACACCGGAACCCAAAGCAACCTTAAAGAAGCAGGTTCCGCCAGCTGTTGCACTCGCGCCAAGGAGGACATCCGTGACACGACGAAGCACCACTCGCAGTAGCCTGTCTCACAAAAGGAAGGGCGGCAGTAGTGCGTTCATGATGGAAGACAAAGATTTGGACGTGTCTGGATGTGCCAATCCAAGGGAAAGCAGTGTATTTCAAGTCGACAAAATGGATGGAAGCATTGTCCTGTTATTTGATGGAATGGACATGTCCAACAAATCGACAGGAATGTCTCGGCGGCGCCGAAGTAGCGGTTCGAGAAATAGCATGCCGCGCAAAAAGAATAAGCCGGGCATGCTGACTCGAATGATGTCCAAACGACAACCCGTCGGTGATGACGACTCATTGAAGAGGCCAGCGGGAGGCAATCGGCCAGGTATGCTTGCCCGAATGATGTCCAAACGGCCACCTCAAGGAGCAGGAGGAAACGCTCTCTACACCTTTACGGAAGATGATGACTCGGACAAGCTCGTCCCTGCTGCGAGTAACAAGTCAAAGAAACGGATCTCGAGCAGCTCGCTCCGGAACTCTCTTACCAACTCTGTTGCAAGCGTGAAAGCGTCCGTCTGGTCCCTCTTCAGCTTTCCATCTCTGGCAGATCGGAACAGCTCCAACTACACCCCCATGAATGTCCAGAAAGCTCTCAAGGCGGCCCCCAAATCCAAATGGATGTTGGAAAAGGTGAAATTCTCTGGTCAGTTTGATTGCAATGCCATGGGACAATGGGAAGATATACATGGAAAACGAATCGACAAGGGCATCAAGAAATTCACAGCCCACCCAGAAAAGTATGCTGGCCTTGTGTTCAACACCAAAATGAGATTTGCCCACAACACAAAGACTTGTGTCTACACTCTCATTCACCGAGAAGGCACCACCCTGATCAAGCCCCAGAATGTCAGCGAAGATGGTGACATGACTTTGATGATGTACAAGTATCGTCACTTGACGCCCATGCCCAATGATACCTTGCCACTGGTCAAACAGGATGCTTACACGTGGGACATGAAATACAATGGACAACTGCTCCATGATCGCGATAATCCTCCCCTGCTGCCGGGCCGTGGCATGGGTGTTGGCGATACACCCAATTTGAAAATAATTGGAGACATTGATCCTGCTGACATTACACAAGGTTATGTGGGGAACTGCTGGCTGCTGTCGGGCATTGCAGCTTTGGCAGAGTTTGATGGTGCCATCAAGAGGCTGTTTCGCAAAACCAAGAACCTGGATAGCATGCCAGGTGATGGCCCCAACCTTTACACTGTTTCTCTGTACGATCTGACTACATGGAAAGAGGTGGACATTGTAATTGATGAATCCCTCTGTGGCCATCCTGACAGGCAGAATGAACTGCTGGGTGCTCAGATTACGGAAGATGGTGAGCTATGGGTTAGCTACTTGGAGAAGGCGTTTGTTGTCCATTGTGGAGGTGGATGGGATGACATTGAAGGTGGGCATTGTACTCATGCCTGGTCCATGATGACGGGATGCAAAGAGCAGTACTTTATTCGCAAGAACTATCATACAGGCAAATACAACTGCTCTGCCAAGTATGACATGTTCACCAAGCAGTGGAAAGAGCTGCAGAACCAACCCCGACACAAGGACATGGCTGGTTTGGAGGTAAGAAAGTGCCTGCTGTTTTGTTTCTGGCTTTGTCTGTGACATGCCTTCTCGGTAGCTCACTCCTTTCCTTTTGTCTATACTTTTATTACTCAATACAGCCCATTGCATGGCCCAAGGTTGGTGGTGGTGGTGCCATGGGTCTGGAGATATCCCAGGATGAGTTGTTTATGAAGATGTTTGCTTGGGACCAAGTGGACTACATTGTGGGAGCCAGTTCCAAGGGAACTTCGGACGATGAAGTGGCCGATGGAATGGTGCGCAATCATTGCTATTCGGTGATTGATGCACATCACAATGTTGCTGGAACAGGCATTGACCTTTTGAAGGTCAAGAATCCCTGGGGCCATGGAGAGGTGGAGGAAGGCCAGTTTGGAGACACTGGGTGTGGCTGGGAAGACTACCCTCAGATCAGAGCACTGCTCAATCCAGTGGTAGCAGATGACGGCATCTTCTACCTGACCAAGGAAGAGTTTTTCGAGTTCTTTGATCACATGTACTTGAGCGCCTGTAGTATGACACAATACAAAGAGGACTAATGCCAAACAGTAGGCACCAATAATGTATTACTAGTTTTTTTAAAACTGTATGAGGCAGCTAAATCATTTCGGAAGTTATTGGTCCATGCCAGTAGACTAGTAGCCTATTTCCGAGTGACAGTCTCCCCAGGTGCTGCCTCGTACGAGCCCTAGATAGTACAGGCGACGATTGTGGTCCCTGAGTTGGTTGCGTCCGTCCAGACTAAAGGTAGAACATCAGCCTCAGACAATAGAAGAACCTGTTACTACGCACTGCAATACTCGCTAGATAGCTCGTTACCGTCCCCGCCGTACAGAGACTCCCAAGACGTAGCTAATAGTTAGCTAGTCTCTTCCCCTGTATGTTCACAGTTAGCTAGCTAGCTAGCTAGCTAGAAACTAAATGTACTGGGCATTCCGGTCAAGACACTGGCGGCTTCCATGGCTTCTTTGAGTTTTCGTTCGGTCTCTCGTTGTTTTTCCTCGGAATCTTCCTTTCGAAATTGTCGAATCTCTTGTTTGTTGTAGTAGAGGTGTTTCTTGTCATCCGGATCGGGTTTGGGGATTTCTTTAAAGAGGGGAGGGTCGTCACTGAAACTGACACAACGCCGCATCCCGCGTCGATTGGAGGAGGGCATTAGGTCTTCAAAAGATTTGGCGCGACTGGGGCCTTTTTTCTTTCCCTTGGCGGCCGGTAACTTTTTGATGCCCTTGATTTGAATGTGGGCGTTCGTGTTGGGTTTGATGCCTTTCTTGTTGTTGGCTGCGCCTGCGCCTGCTGGCTTTTTCTTTTTGGGTTTTTCTTCTTCTTCTTCACTGCTACTCTCTTCTTCTTCGCTACTACTCTCTTCTTCTTCTTCTTCGCTCGAGGACATGTCCTCCGAATACTCGGATTCTGAGGAGGCGGCACTGGATTTGGAAGTGATTCGCTTGGCCTTTGGCTTTGGGTTGTTGTTGGGTTTTTTCTTTTTCTTGCTGTCCTCCTCTTCTTCACTGGATTCCTCTTCTTCTGACGATTCTTCTTCTTCTTCTTCACTGCTACTTTCTTCTTCATCGTCCGAATCCTCGTCGTAGTCATCGGATTTTATAAATTTCCACTTGCCCTTGGGTTGATCCGGCAATCGCACGTCGTCGTTCTCGTCATCGTCGTCGTCACTGTCGTCCCCTACCGACGACAAGCCCATTTCCTTTTCCAATCCTTGTCGTAACTTCAAGGCGGATTTGGTCAATCCCTGTTGTTCCAAAAACACCAACAGAGCTGCCGTTTGATGCAACAGGAGCTTTTGATCGGCGGGAGAACGTTTCTCAAACGGAGTGGTGTTGCCCTTGGTAATGCTAGTCTTCTTATTGGCGGGGCCAGTAGTCTTCTTTTTGGCGGTCCCAGCATCCTTCTTATCATGGTCGCCGCCCTTGCTGTGATCGCTCCAACTGAATTCGGCTTGTTCCTTGGCACGCCGTGCCATGGACTGTTGTCGTAAGAGGGCTTTGTTACTACTGGGAGGGGGCATGATGAAAGCGTGGGAAGCAACAGTGACAAGGTGCAGCGACGGGATGATCGAGACAGTCTCAGACAGCAGATAAGATGATGATAAGGAGAGGATGATCTGTTCGAGCGTCAACGCAAACGGCTCGAAAAAGGTGGTGCGATCTTTTGCCTTGGGTAGATCGGCTCGAGTGACCTCATCATACCCTAAATGACCAGGTCATCCAAAGGTCACGAGGAGCTTCTGGCTCATGGGAGTGGCCGATCTCGTGTTGAGGCCGCGTTTTGGAGTAGGGAGAGTACACGTACCGGTATCTACCGATAGATGACAACTTCAGGTCCCAAGGAGGACCATTACAGGACCTGGTAGATGACGATAACTGAAGCAAGGAATAGGTCCCAAGGCACTCCAAGATCTTGGGAATAGATGCAGATGACCGCAGTTGCAACATCGCTTGCTACTGTACCGCTACGGCTATTGTAGAGCGAAGCTCGGGCTCTAGCTAGCTAGGAGGACGGACAGTAACCAACTTTCTCGGGGCTTGAAGAACGGCTTGATGTCCTGCAGCTAGCTACCGGTAGCTGCGATGTGATTACCAGTAAATGAAGAATCACCTGGGCAAGTTGCTGCTCGGTCGTACCAGCCATCACTGAGCAGTACTGCGCGAAAGGCGAATATAATCGCGCCTTGCGTACAAGCTGCCTCTCTAAACCACTCTTTGAGGCAATCCTCTGCAATCCTCCGCAACTTTCAAAACGAGCCCTTCAAAAAACAGTGCGTCGAGGTGGATTTACTAGTAGCTTTCATGCCTTTTCAGAGGACACCGCCAGCAAGGATTCACAAGCTTGGTCCCATTCTGGATTCTCAAACTGTGCCATGAGCCCCAGCAATTGCTCTTGGCTCACGTTGATGTGATCTTCGCTGGATGCCGTATCCCAGTCGACATTGCCAACACTGCCAGTACTATCCACCAGAATCCCTTCGTGCAGCACAGTCATTTTCCGTTCCAGACAAGGTTTGCCCTTGCTGTCGACATCCACTCGACTGGTCCGCCATCGTTTCATAAAGTCCTGCACGGCAGTCCGTTCCCCCACAAGGGCCACCAAAATGGTCGGTCGTTTGCTGAAATCGTGGTTCGGATAGCATTGTTTCACCAGCATCATGGCACCCGTGTCTGTGCTCGTTTTTCGCAACCATTTCCGATACGACTTGCCGTTGTTCATGTGATCGACCCATACCAGTGCCCCATACGGCTGTTCTTCTTCTTCTTCTCCGTGGTCCCCAGCTTCCCCATTGCTCTTATTGTTATTGTCGTATACCTTCATGCTGGTCCGAAAGAGCGATTCCAAACCGACTTGGCGACAATGATCTGCCACCATGGACATGTCACTGACTTCCCAAAACTGGTCAAACTTTCGCAAGGCATCTAGATTGTTTCCCTTTTCTTGTTGTTCCCCTCGTACCACGAGATACTTCCAGGCCCATTGTTTAATGTCGTCGTAAAAGTATTGGCAGTGATGTTCCGGTCCTTCAATAATGATGAGACCCGGCCAACCAATCTTGACATAGCCCGTCAATTGATAATGAGATGCCAAGTCTTTGAGATTGGCTCGTTTCACTTTGGAAATGATGTGATGCGAGTAAATCAACCGTCTGCCCAGAACATTGCTGTTGTGGGAAGGGTCAGCAGTGGTTGCAGTGGTACTACTAGTAGCGGCTGCTGTCGTACAGAATTGTGGCCATTGCTCGGCAATCCACTCCTCGGCATGACTCAGAACGGCAAACAAAGCCTCTTCTCCCACCAATGATCGAGCCACCTCGGTGCAGCCCGCGACCATTTGAGGCATGCCATTAAAGGCAGCCTTGATGAGCTGGGCGCTGCCGCCGGGTTCCAGGGTAAAGGATATTTCCAAGGGAGCCACGGCGGGATATCCTGATGTCATGGTGAGGGTCAAGACGACTTCTAGTAGGGCATCATCCTTGCCGTTGGTAAGCTGCAGTCGACGATGTACTAGGAGATTGGCTTCCTTTTGGGTGGTACTACACCATGCTTCCTCGGGAGCATATGCCGACGACACAAATTCCAGCTCGGCTTGGCGTCGTTCTTCCAGCTCATCTTCTGCCATTCTGCTGCTGCTTTTGGCACTTGAATTGGGCTAGCTATTATAAGAGCCAGCTAGATCACCAACTGCCAGGCCAATTCACAAGGGATTGGAGTGCTCAAGGAGCAGTTCAAGGCAACAACTGACAACAAAGTAGAAAACAAATACTAAATAGATACGTTAAGGAGCGAGGGGGGCGAAGCTAGAGGCAAAGCAGTGGCTGTGGTGGTGGGCGGCTGTTGTGGTGGGCGTACGGGGAGAGCAATGAGGACGCGAGCAGGGCAAAAAAAGGGGGCAGGGAAGGGGGGTGCAGGGAGGAAAACCAGGAAGAAGAAGGGAGCAAAATTAGCGGAAGAGTGCAAGTGCACCATCGGAATCCCAGAGAGAACGACGGTAGCTCATTGTGCCAGCTGGGACACGAGAGCCACGCATGCAGAGGTGGCGGGCCCGAAGAATAGCTAGGCTGAGCCGAGCATTAACGTAGCCACGCACCACGGAGTAAGGGCGTTCCCACTTTGCAGCGAGCAAAGCGGAAATACGTTTTGCGAGTGCCTTAGCTTCGGTCCCAAGGAGACCATCAGCAGAGACAACAAACGGAGTAAAGTGGCGGCGTTGGGAAAGACAGGCGTCGAGATACTTGCGTTTCTTGTCACGTTCGCCATTGCGAAGGACCTTGTCAGGATCCTTGCGACAGTGAGAAGCAGCATCAAGATTGATGACACGAACATCAATTTTTTAAGGATGCCGTTTGGCCATGTTGCAACGCGCTTGTGCCCTTGTGAGTCAGCAGAGAAGATTAGGGTTCAGGACAATTTTCGTCAGTGCGTACAGCTCGAGCTTCGCTGCCCGCCCTCTTCCCGTCCGGTGGGTTGTTTGTGCGGCACTGCAAGTTGCAATGACAGATGTCAACCGCCCTTGGAGAAGCTTGCAATCTAAACTGGAGTACTGGAATTACCAACACTTTTTCTTAGCAATGAGGTGTTGGTGTACGAACTATAGGGATCATGCATGCTAAAACGTCAGGAGTGGACTCCTGCTACAGACGAAATTGTGCCTCGTTAGCATATCTTCTCTGGATCAAACCTTTCATTCGCTCCTGCAACCTCTCGGCAGCTATTTCTGGTGTTGGCAAATGATAAAGCCTGTCTAATCTCCCTAGTGGACATTTGGATCCAACATGGAATGTAGCTGTGAGTTCTCTTGGAAGTGTTGCTTTTAACATGGCAATAATCATCCGGAAGTGTGCAGGGCAATTGAAGAACTTGGTTTGTTTAATCTTTCTTGGATAAGCAAAGACACTCTTCCAGGTGGATCGGAAGGAATGCAGGTCAGCAGATTTTCCTTTGATCATCTGGTACCCTTCACACTCAAAAAGCATAGCGAGCCCAGCCCTCAGAGCTGCCAAATCACAATATGCCATTTGCTGTCCATAGAAAGCCCTGCGGTTGAAGAACTGTCTTTGTTCTGGATCCCTCCACATGGATCCCTTGGATTTTGCAACATCTAAAGCAAAAACGTAGCCACCTGATTGGAGGTCATAATCAATAGAGAGGTAATGGGCCTCCCTGGGCAAATTCCTCAGTCCATCATCCAATGTATCCAAGATTTTGTTTTCTTTCTTGTGTTCTTGCAGTCGATATGCTCTAGCCACAGCATCACCAACATTTCCTTCTGATGAAACAATGGCCAGCTGTGCATATATAAAATCAGTTAAATTGTCGAGATCTGGGATCTTTTCAATGGCAGTTTTGACGGCAACAGCCCACTGATGTTCTTCCTGGGTGAGCTCCATTTGGGAGGGATCATATTGCCTATAAAGAAGATTCACAGAGAGTTCTTTCATGATGGAGCCATTGCCATTGTTGCGTCCTGCATCAACCCCACCACTGTCCGTGGCTTGGTTGGGTGGCAATTTCTTTGCTGGATCTTCCTTGTTGTCTTTTTCTCCATTGTCATCATCGTCATCATCACTACCGTTACTGGAGTCACTACTACAGCCAGAGTATGCCTCGATGTCTGCCTCATTGCCGGAGTCAACACCATGATTATGCTGTGCAGGTAGTTTGTTCTTGTTGCTGTTGTTGTAAATGCCAGCGATACTGGTAGGTTCAGTGAGAGCAGGGGATTCATCCGAGAGGTATTTGCCAGGGATACCACTAGGTTCGGTGATAGCGGAGATTTCATCAGAGTCTGATCTCTCCTCCGTGGAGCTTCCATATCTGAAACCTTCAGGATCCATACTAGTTAGTTAGTCTAGCTAGTTGGAGGCAACAATTAATTGAAGCTTAGGGTGCCACAAAGAAGCCTGAGGAGGATGCAAAAGCCAAGCGGATTTTAAAATTGTTTGTGATGCCTCAATCAGTTTAATAGTACAAACGAGTCGCGTGAATTTGGTGCCATTTCCCTGGTGCAGTGCTCTTAAAGGAGAATGGCACCTTCCACATCAGTTGAAGTTGTTAAGTCCTTAGAAGAACCTAGTGTTCTTAAGTATTTAACAAATAGCCAAAATTTAACCAGTGAGAGACTCAAAGACTTAATGCAAATGTACCAAGTGTGTCTTTTGTGGGAGGACGCAGAGAAACCAGCCTGTACAAAATGAAATTTTACTTTTAGGTAAAAATATTAAAAGTAAAACTTTAAAAGCCTTGTTATTAAGAATCTCCATGGCATGTTGACTGAGGACTCATGACCTCATGTACCAATACTACATGCTGATGCTGGTACTGCTGGTGCTGCTGGTGCTGCTGGTGCTGCTGCTGATCTAAGCTACTAGCTTGCTAGCTATCAATGACTGAGTTACAAGTAGGTTTTATCTACTACAGAGTAATCATTAAAATTCTACTAACACCAAATTAATTGTATTGCTCTAGAGCTTGATTCAAAGAAGCAATGCCATCTTGTTTGACTGACTTGGATCATCATCTTGTTTGACTGACTTGGACGAATCTCACAGAGCTCAGCTGTTGGAAAAGGGGTGGGGGGAGGCAGGTGCCGCTGCAGTGATTCAAGTGCTGCAAAAGCTTGAAAACTAAGTGTAACTCATTGTAAACAGTGTTGCTGTTGCTCTGTTATCTCTGTAGAGTTGTTTACAATACAAAGCTAGTTGAAATGACGACCACGTTAGTCGTCCTCCAATGTTCTACGCCAGTTACGTCAGTTGCACGCCAGTTACGTCAGTTACCCTACGCTAGTTACGCTAGTTACGCTAGTTGAAGTGCCCCTAATTTTGGTGCAGTGCGGTGCGAGGACGGTGCAGGAGAACTGCACTGGCACCAAATTATGGCACCAAATTCAACTGACCCGTACAAACCGGTCAAACAAATTTGATTGAATCTCAATCGAATGGTTGAATCGAATCATTCGAATCATTCGAATCATTCGATTCAATCATTCGACTGTCACGCATCATTCGAAGGAATCGATCTTCAGATTCGATTGGACTCAATCATTCGATTGAAGATCCAACCCGTGTTCGGTGAGTTACGGTACCTGGTAACGTTGTTCCCTCTCTACTACATTACACTTTGTAGTAGCTAGTAGCTATCATAGCTAGACTATTGTACCGGTACCGCTTGACGGAGCCACAATAGAGCGGACCCGTACCCCAGACGCACAATCGGTTTACCGAACGCATGTACCGATACAGGCACCGGTACCGGCACCGGTACCGTACCGTAGACTATATTCTCCCATGCACTCCTGCTCCATTCTTGGCCGTCTCATTCTAGATTGCTAGCCTTGGCTAACGAGCTAGCCCGACGAAGAAAGAGATTGCTCTGGATAATTCCAAACTGGTGGGCTTGGTGGTTTCTCTATTAGCTTTGTGTCGCATAGGATGCCTGATGGTAAATAAAATGGGCTTAGGTTAGATTAGCCTCCTCCAAAAAAAGGGGCATTGTTATCGAGACTGAAGTTTGCCTCATTGGTATATCGTTTGGCTAGAAGCCCTTTCATTCGCTCATGCAACCTTGCTCTTGCAATTTCTGGGGTTGGCATGCAGTACAGCTGGTCCAGTCTTCCCAATGGACATTTAGCAGAGAGATGAAATTTAGATGTGACTTCTGTTGGTAACACTGCTTTGCCAATTGATACCATCACCTTGAAGAGTGGAGGTGCATTGAAAAATTTGACTTGTAAAAGATGTCTTGGATAGGCATGTATACTCCTCCAAACAGATCGAAATGCAGTCAAGTCAAATGATTCGCCTTTGACCAGCTAGTACCCCTCACATTCAGCAAGAATAGTACAGCCAACCCTGAGTGCCTCCAGATCACAATATGCTATTTGGGAGATATAGAATTGCCTGCGGTTGTAGGAGCGTGTCTCCTCTGGATTCTTCCAGATGGCTCCCTCCATCTTTGTAATATCACCAGCAACAATGTAGCCACCAGATTGGAGATTGTAGTCAATAGAGAGCAAATAGTTATCTTCCTTTGGAAAATTCCTCAGTGCATCATCCAATGTGTTCATTATTTCGTTTTCTTCCTTATGCTCTTGAAGTCTGTACGCCCTCACAACAGCATCATCGACATTACCTTGAGAAACAATGGCAAACTGGGCATACACGAAATCAGACAAATTATCGATATCTGGGATTTTTTCAATGGCAGTTTTGATGGCAACGGCCCACTGATGCTCTTCCTGGGTGAGCTCCATTCGGGAGGGATCATCTTGTCCACGTAGATTCGCAGCAAGCTCATTCATAATGGGGCCGCTATCATTGTTGCGTCCTGAATCAACCCCACCACTGCCTGTGGCTGGTTGCTGGTTGTGATCTGTGAATCCATCATCATCATCATCATCATCATCACTATCACTGCTGGATTCACTACTACAGCCAGAATATGCCTCGATGTCTGCTTCATTGCCAGAGTCACCGCCTGCCTGTTCTACAGGTGGGTTGTTAACGATACTGGTAGATTCTATGAGAGCAGACGATTCATCAGAGATGGAATTGGGAGCCGAACCACTAGGTTCAGTGATTTCAGAGATTTCATCAGCGTCTGATCCCTCCTCAGTGGAGCTTCCGTGTCTGAAACCTTCAGGATCCATAGTTCGAAAGTTAGTTGGAGGGGTGTGACAAAGAAGGGTTTTGGATTGAAGGGAAAAGAAGAAATAGCCTCGCCCTGAGTGCCTCCAGATCACAATATGCTATTTGGGAGATGTAGAATTGCCTGCGGTTGTAGGAGCGTGTCTCCTCTGGATTCTTCCAGATGGCTCCCTCCATCTTTGTAATATCACCAGCAACAATGTAGCCACCAGATTGGAGATTGTAGTCAATAGAGAGCAAATAGTTATCTCCTTTGGAAATTCCTCAGTGCATCATCCAATGTGTTCATTATTGTTTTCTTTCTTATGCTCTTGAAGTCTGACGCCCTCACAAGCATCATCAACATTGTCCTTGAGAAACAATGGCAAACTGAGCATACACGAAATCAGACAAATTATCAATATCTGGGATTTTTTCAATGGCAGTTTTGATGGCAATGGCCCACTGATGCTCTTCCTGGGTGAGCTCCATTCGGGAGGGATCATCTTGTCCATGTAGATTCGCAGCAAGCTCATTCATAATGGGGCGCTATCATTGTTGCGTCCTGAATCAACCCCACCACTGCCTGTGGCTGGTTGCTGGTTGTGATCTGTGAATCCATCATGGTCATGGTCATCATCATCATCGCTACCACTGCTGGATTCACTACTACAGCCAGAATATGCCTCGATGTCTGCTTCATTGCCAGAGTCACCGCCTGCCTGTTCTACAGGTGGGTTGTTAACGATACTGGTAGATTCTGTGAGAGCAGACGATTCATCAGAGATGGAATTGGGAGCCGAACCACTAGGTTCAGTGATTTCAGAGATTTCATCAGCGTCTGATTCCATTCCTCCTCAGTGGAGCTTCCGTGTCTGAAACCTTCAGGATCCATAGTTCGAAAGTTAGTTGGAGTTGTGGGACAAAGAAGGGTTTTGGATTGAAGGGAAAAGAAGAAATAGCCTCGCCCTGAGTGCCTCCAGATCACAATATGCTATTTGGGAGATGTAGAATTGCCTGCGGTTGTAGAGCGTGTCTCCTCTGGATTCTTCCAGATGGCTCCCTCCATCTTTGTAATATCACCAGCAACAATGTAGCCACCAGATTGGAGATTGTAGTCAATAGAGAGCAAATAGTTATCTTCCTTTGGAAAATTCCTCAGTGCATCATCCAATGTGTTCATTATTTCGTTTTCTTCCTTATGCTCTTGAAGTCTGTACGCCCTCACAAAAGCATCATCAACATTGTCTTGAGAAACAATGGCAAACTGGGCATACACGAAATCAGACAAATTATCAATATCTGGGATTTTTTCAATGGCAGTTTTGATGGCAATGGCCCACTGATGCTCTTCCTGGGTGAGCTCCATTCGGGAGGGATCATCTTGTCCATGTAGATTCGCAGCAAGCTCATTCATAATGGGGCGCTATCATTGTTGCGTCCTGAATCAACCCCACCACTGCCTGTGGCTGGTTGCTGGTTGTGATCTGTGAATCCATCATGGTCATGGTCATCATCATCATTCGCTACCACTGCTGGATTCACTACTACAGCCAGAATATGCCTCGATGTCTGCTTCATTGCCAGAGTCACCGCCTGCCTGTTCTACAGGTGGGTTGTTAACGATACTGGTAGATTCCGTGAGAGCAGATGATTCATCAGAGATGGAATTGGGAGCCAAACCACTAGGTTCAGTGATTTCAGAGATTTCATCAGCGTCTGATTCCATTCCTCCTCAGTGGAGCTTCCGTGTCTGAAACCTTCAGGATCCATAGTTCTAAAGTTAGTTGGAGTTGTGGGACAAAGAAGGGTTTTGGATTGTGGACCACTTGAGAAGGGAAAAGAAGAAATAGCCTCGCTGCCTCCGTGCCGAAAAGGCAGAGACGGAGATACAAAAACAAATACTCCGTAGCTAACTTCCCTACTCTAAAACCCCCTTATATAAATAGATACGCTGTACGCAGATACCCTCCTCTTCAAGTTTGAAGGATCCCCCGGCTGGCTTTTTCAGCCTACTTTTTCCACAAGTACTGGAGAGTACATGTACCCCGACAGGACAGACGGTTTCAAATAGCACTGCTGTCTTGCGCCAGGAATTCTTTAGCATTCGCCGTTCAAGATGCCAGTGATCCCCTGCGATTGTTTACTTAGACCGCTTTGGATACCGTTGCCTAACAAGCAAACGAGATGCGCTTTCAATCAGACGTGGATTTATTTGTCCAAAGGGTATTCCTAGTCGTGGATATCTCCATAGTCGACCACACGGTCGAGTATGGCAAACCTAAATGATCTTGGATACCCCTTCTGGTTTTCCCTGGATCTTTCCTTCCAAAGCCGTCTCATTCAAGTTCACAACTGGTAGACCCTCTTCATTCTTTCGGCATTTTGTTTGTTGCTGCTGTGTTACTTTTCAAAAGAACAGCAACATTACACCACCATGCCCACTCGCAACGCCGATTTACGCCATGGCAGCGATGCTCCCATTGGAGGTATCAATTTGAGCGATGATGATGACGACGACGAGTACGCAGGAGAAGAGACGTTTGCCACGGATGTGGATGTGCCTCCAGTGGTGGCTCGAGCGTATGCCGCCAGCGCGGATCCTCCCAGTACCAACACGTACCAAAGCTACAACACCAACGAGACGTCCGTGTTGGAAATTCCGGAAACTCCCCAAGGGAATCTGTGGGATCAGTCCATGATTCGAATGAAGGGCGAAGGCGTCCAAGACGCTCCTCCCATGGTGGAAGCTACCCCGCCTTCTTCACCCGCTCGTCGCGCTTCGGCCCATTATCAACCCGTTCGTCCCGCGGAACCGGGTCAGCTCCAACAGACCAGCAGCCACGGCAGCGGTAGTGGTGGTAACAACGAAAAGCGAGTGGCCCGACGACCCTCGGATGCCCCGCAAAAAATCGATCCAAGCCCCCGTCGCCAGTCGGATGGAGGGATCCGAAAAGCGGGACTTCGCCAGAGTGGTCACCACCACCAACAACAGCAACAACCAGGAGCTTTTAATGAAGCCAATCAACAACGATCACCGGCGGCTCCTGCTCCAGCTCCGTTGCCTCCTCCACCACCATTAACACCCGCACCAGCACCAGCTCCCACCCCATCTCTCCCAGTAGCCGATGATGTGATTGTGGCCGATGCCACCTTGGTCAAGCCCGTGGCAGACGTGATCGCCATGGGAGATGTGGAAACTCCTTCCAATATGGAAAATCAACCCCGCACGTCTTCCACCAACAGCGACAACAATAATAATGAACAACAACAAAAAACACTCATGTATTTCACGGGATTAATGTTTTTGGGATTGATCTTGGTACTGGTGGTGGTCGTCGTGGTGGTCGTCATGTTGACACGCCCATCCGATCCTCCCGCTCCAGCACCGACAGCCATTGATGAGGGAGGAGCGTCGAATTTTCCCACCACCGTTGCTCCGGATTTCCCGACAGTGCCAGTGCCCGATGTCCCCACAGTTCCAGCGCCTGAACCCGACGCCCCCATCGCTCCAGCACCTGAACCTGATGCTCCCACAGCTCCAGCTCCTGAACCCGTAGCTCCCGAGCCAGCCACCAGTGCTCCCACAACGGCTCCCTCCGCCAATACCGACGCCCCCACCACCACAAAGCCCTCTGTGACGCCCACAACAGCTCCCTCGGCTGCGCCATCCATGAGTCCTTCGATTGGCACGTTGCCGCCCACTGCCGCCACTCCAGAGCCAACCACTTTGGCGCCCACATCCTCGCCCACCAATACTATTGTTACTCCGCAACCCACATCACTGCCACCCACTCCCTTTCCAACGCTTCGCCCTACGCTGCCACCCACAACCCCGCAACCCACTCCCTTTCCAACGCTTCGCCCTACGCTCCCACCCACAACCCCGCAGCCCACGCCCTTTCCTACCGCCGAGGCCACCACCTTTGTCGATACGTTGCCCGATTTCACACAAGTGGCGATTCTGCAGGATCCGGCATCGGCACAAAGCCGGGCATGGGACTGGCTCCGGCTCCGACATCCTCTATTCCGAACCATGGCACAGTGGCAACGAGAACAATTGTTTGCCTTGGCCACATTTTTCTACTCGTACAATGGGGCCGATTGGTCCTCCAGCGAAGGAACGAATTGGTTAAACGGAAATGTGGACGAATGCCTCTGGGGCGATTCCGGTAGCAATGCCAATAGGTGCAACGACAATGGCCGTATCACCAAATTGTCGCTGGAAGAAGAGACCGTCAATGAAGTGGTTGGAGTGACGCCTCCCGAATTGATCTTGCTGACGGATTTGCAGGATCTCCGGATTTTTACCATGGATTTGGTGACCAATTTTGAAGGGGTGCTGCCCACGCAACTCGCCAACCTCACGGACTTGTCCAATTTGCACTTGTATAATTTGGAAGTCACGGGAACCTTGCCGAGCTACATTGCAGACTTTCAGCAATTGACTTCTCTTAACATTCGATCCAACCAACTGACTGGACCATTGCCTACAGAGTTGGGATTGATGACCAACTTGAGATTCTTGGTCGTTCGCTCAAACTCGTTCGCGGGCACTCTCCCCACCGAAATGGCCAACATGGCTTCTCTAGAGTCGCTCACAATCAACGAAAACGGTCTGACGGGCACCATTCCATCGGCGTTGTGCGCCTTACCGTCACTCACCACAATTCGACTGGATTGTCTCAAACTGGTAGCTCCTGTGGCCTGCGATGGCATTGGTGTCATCTGCGACGACGCCGATGACGACGCTGCGGCTCCCGCAACTCCGGCACCGGCACCCGTTGCCAACACGCCCACGGCTGCAACCGCCTTTCCTACCACGAACACGTTGGTCTTGGGTGTTCCCGAATTCAGTTTGGCAGCCCTCCAGGACGCCTCCAGCCCACAATTTGCCGCAAACGCATGGTTGGTGGGTTATCCAGGCATTGAAACGGTTCCCGATTGGAGAAAGCAGCAGCTCTTTGCCTTGACAACGTTTTTCTATGCCTTCAACGGAGATGCATGGCCGGATTTCGAGAAGGCAGGCTGGACCGAGTATTTTGTACCCGAGTGCGAGTGGGGTGATACTGGTGACCCCAATGAGTGCAACGCCCAAGGAGAGATCACCACGCTTTCCGTGGAGTTTGTTGACGAGTTTGTTGGAATTGCCATGCCGCCCGAATTGGCCTTGCTGTCCTCGTTAGAAAAACTTGTTGTGGAATCGAATAGCAATCTTGTGGCGGACGTCTCTGCCATGCTCCCCGCTCAGCTTGTCCATTTGCCGCTCAGTGTCATTTTTATGGAAAACAACGCAATGACGGGGACTCTGCCCAGTCAGCTATTCGGAATGAGTGGTCTTACCAACCTCAGGCTGAATGGAAATCAAATTTCCGGCCCTATTCCTTCGGAGATTTCATCCCTTCAGGAGCTCCGGTTTTTGAGTCTTTTCAACAATCCACTGACTGGAGAGATTCCGTCCGAACTTGGCCTCATGACCAACCTGGTTTCCATTGTGCTTGACCAAACCCTCATGTCTGGAACAGTCCCTCATGAAGTCTGTGATTTGCCACTCCAGCTGCTGGATATTGACTGCACCATGATAGAGCCACCGCCTTGTGCACATCAATGCGGCAACACAAGAGAAACGAGGGACTAGAAGGAGCAAAGGAAGAGAAATGTTAGGCGGTTGGAGCGTTGTCATGCATGTAGTTGTC